GGAATATTTAAGAAGGAATTTCACTTTGACTTGCAAATGTGTTCTAGTAATTTAAATAATAGTTATGCCTTCTTGAAAAGGCAAATGAATTATGGAAGTGTCAGAACAAAAGCTCCAAAGAAAGGTCCAGTGCAGTGACGACATAAGCCCCAAACTCTGGCTGCTCACTGGCTGTGTCTTGTAACTGTAATTCCAGCACTTGGGAGGTGTTTTGCATGAGACAGGGTTTTACTAGGTAAACCAGGTTGGACTTGAACTTCTTACGTGTGAAGTATGACCTTAAAATCCTGGTCTTCCAGCTGTCTCAGCCTGTTAACTGCTGGAATAACAGGCCTGGCCCACACCTGGCTATGAGTGGGATTATATATAGTTTGGTTGTAAGGCTCTATGGCAGAAATATCAAATGTCATTTTTTTAGTTTGTGATTTATCTTAGAATGTTTAGACTACAGTTCTCAGCATGTGGGGGTTGCATATCAGATATCCTGTGTTGCAGGTTTTTAAAATGCCATGAAGAGAATTCACGACATACAACGGGACCTCACATAGGCTTATTAGAAGAGGAGAGAGAAGGGGCCAGCAGAGATCGGTCCCTGGGGACAAGGGTGGAGGAAGGTGGGGAGACAGAAAGACATGCAAAGCGGCAGAGAGAGAGAAAAAATATAGATAGGAGGTGCTCTTAGTGGCTGGAGCTGTCGGGACCCAAGTGCAGGCCGGTACAGATGCTTGAGTACTAACATCCTGCATACCAGATATTTACATAACAATTCACAATGGTAGCAAACTACAGTTATGAAAAACTAATGAAATAGCTTTATGGCTGGGGGTCATCCCAACATGAACTATATTAAAAGGTTGAAGCATTAAGAAGGTTGAGACCCACTGATTTAGAGCATTTTTAAACTTATGTCTACTTCCCTCTTTGGAATTTCTTTGCCAGCTTTTTTTACAGCTTTTACTCAAGTCAGTTAGTTGCCTATAAACTTATGTTTGGACCTGGTCTGACCTTGTGTCCACCTGGAAGAGAGTGAGAGGCACATGCTAAGCAGATACCAGCACTGCGATGTGCTGCTGCCCTCTGTCTCTAGCTCCCAGCATTCACACAAAAGCCTTGGTAAGCTTGGCAAGGCCGCTCCCACTGAGGGCTTTACCTTGGAGACCGAGACACAAACAACATGAACCTCCCTTAGAAGGATTCCTATTCACCCCAAGCCTGGCAGGGCTACATTCCCAGAGCCTGGCATTTTCCACCTTCTCTGTGGGTGGCAGCCTGGGCCACCTTCATTTCCTAGAAGTGTAGAGTCTGGGCTCAGGTGGGGCCCTAAACAGCAAGCGGGTTCTCCCAGCCCCTGCTCTAACCCAGCAACCACCTTCTTAGGCTTCGTAACTCAAGAATGCCTTTGGGGTCTCAGCTCCCACCCACGGGGCTCATTAAACTGTTTCTTCCAAACAAAAGCAGAGTGTCTTCTAAGTGGAATTCCCACACCATCTGGTCTTATGGCCCTGTTTTCCCCATCGCCTTGGTTTCTCAAACATTTAAGGAGGAGGTCTTCAGGGAAGACTTGGAGCCAAGCGTTTGCTCCTCAGAGCACCGATTTTCAGAGAGGCGACCCTCAGGGACAATCAACCCTATGACTCAAGCTCCCAGGAACTTTACCAGGTATCCCCAAGGTGGCCTCAACAGTAGCCAGGTGGGAGCTTGTGCTAGCCTCCCCCCACCCCCAGGAGTAAGAGCATGGGGACACACTGGCAGGAACTCCAAAGCCTGGGAAAGCTGCAGATCTCACACCCGTACGTAGTGAAGGTGGGAAACGCAGAAGGGGTCAGACTCCTAGGAGCACATCAGTAGACAGCAGCCAGAGGAGGGGTAGGAAGAGTGGATGAGCATGGCAGGTGTGGCCTAACTATGCTCACACAGGCAGGTGGAGGCAGTGCTCTAACGTAGCTGTGGATCTGCGAGAACAGTTTACAAAGTGGATCTTGCAGAAGTTAAGGTACAGCCTTGAGGTCTGCTGTCCTGCTTCATGCTATTTTCTATTCTTTCCACCTGTTTGCTCATTGGAGACAATAAGCTGTACAGCCCAGGCTAGGCTCCAGTTTGGCAAACTTTCCCTGAAGCAGCTTCTTGGCTTGCTGAGATTAAGCAGGGTCTCAGGTAGCACAGATTTTTCTCAAAATTTACATGTAGTCAAGAATGATCTGGAACTCCCAGCCCTCCTGCCCTCACCTCCCATGTACAGGGATTGCAGGTATGTGCCACCATGCCTGGCTTCACACAGATTTTTTTTTTTTAAATTTGTTTGTGTGCATGTGTATGTGCAGGTGTTTGAGGCAGAAGAAGGTGCCGGAGCCCTTCCCCTGGAGAATGAGTTACAGGCAACTCTGATCTGATCCATGCAGGTGCTGGGAACCAAACTCCAGGGCCCTGGAAGGACAGCAAATGCTCCTAACTGCTGAGCCATCTCTCAGGCCCCTTTCTCCTCCCCCCTCCTTCCCTCCCTCTCTCTCTTCCTTTCTTCTATCCTCCCTCCCTCCCTTCCTTCTTTCTTTATTTATTCTTTCAAATACTTATACTCACTTCCCAGCCCTTGCACACTTTTTTTTTTAGCATTTGAAATGTAATGATTCTGGGGATGTCGTTTAGGTGTTAGCAGCCCTAGGTTTGACTGTCATAAAGCACACCCCATAAAACCAGGCCTGAGTCTGAGGAGGTGATGCCGTGGGTAACAGTGCTTACCCAACAAGTATGAGGACCTAAGTGTGCATCCCCCTCTCCCCCACCCCACCCCCCAAACCCATGTACAAAGCATTTATAAATAATATTAAGCCTCTGTACTGGTTATTTAGAGCAGGTGGTCGGAACAGGAAAAGTCCGTCTATGACACGCTTTCTCTGATACTTTGGCAAAAGTCCTAGCCAGAAACCACTTGAGAAATAGCTTACTCTGACTGGTGTTTCAGAGACACATCAGTGCATGGTGGCCAGGAAGGCATGGTAGAAACATGAGTCTGTTTGTTCAAGTCACAGTAGACAGGAAGCAGAGAGCATGGGTGCATGACACCCTAAGGCCCAGCCAGAGGTCTTATTCCACCAGCCAGGCTCATTTCCTCTAGGTTCCATAGACTTCAGAATAACTCTACAAGCTGGGGACAGGGGGGCTTAAAACATAAGCCTGTGAAGGGAAGACATTTCAGATTTAAACTGTAACATCAGAGAAGGAGCCAGGGACCAGGAGGGGCAGCGTGGGAAAGAGCATGGGGAGGACGGAGGACAGACTGTGCTGGGGCATCTTGTGGTGTGACCCAGAGCTGGCATTAGCTGGCGTCTGCAGGCATGGTACAGCCAGTTACCATGCTAAGCCTCTGTTATACTGACCAGCATCTCTCATTATGTTTTGTTTTACTGGGTTTTGTTTTTGTTTTTGTTTTAAAACGAAAAAGCCAGGCAGTGGTGGCACACACCTTTAACCCCAGCACTTGGGAGGCCGGGTCCACAGAGTTCAAAGGGCTGGGTCCACAGAGTTCAAAGGGCTGGCCCACAGCTACTGTCTCAAAAAACAGAACAAAACAAAACAAAACAATAAAGGGAAGGGAGGGAGGGAGGGAGGGGGAAAGAGAGAAAGGAAAGAAAAGAACTCACTGGGCAGTGGTGACACACACCTCTAATTCCAGCATGTGGGAACAGAGGCTTGTTATGTAGACCAGGCTGGCCTTGAACTCACAGAGAATCACCTGCCTCTGCCTCCCAAGTGCTGGGATTAAAGGCATGTGCCACCACTCCTGGCCCTGTATTTTTATTATTACATTTGTTGTCTGTGTCTGTGTGTGCGTGTGCGTGTGTGTATGTGTGTGTGTGTGGTGTTGCCATGGCACATATGTGGAGAGCAGAGGACAACTTGCAACGGTCAGTTCTCTTCTACCACGTGGGTCCTGGACATCACATTCAGACCATCACCGTCTTGGAGGCAAGAGCCCTTCCCCATCAACTTTAAAGCATTTCCACTGGGAACAAAACCTGAAGAGCTTGAAGACTGAAGACAGGTGTGATGCAAATCCCAGAGTCAGTGATCTTGAAGAAGCTGACCTCCACCCTCACTCCCACCACCCCCAGGAGAGAAGACGTAAGTGTAGTCCTAGGACGGGGGAGAGATGCTGGAGTGGGATCAGATGCTCGATGCTCTTCTCACCCGAGGAGCAGGAACTATGCATGGGCTGACAACCAGGGTGAGCACAAGTACACAAATGGAACCTTCCACTCCAACCTCTACGATGGGGATGAAGCTAGATACATCCTAGGCAAGTGCTCTACCTAACCCCCAGCTACCTTCTTAATACAGTGGGTTTCTAGGTCCACACTCTTTTTAGGATTACCCCAGAGTTTGCAGTCTTTTGCAGCCCCCGTCCTCCCAGCCCAGCTAAGCAGGTAGATTGTCCTGTGTCACAAGGTTAACTCTAGCACTAAGGATAGTCAGTCTAGATGCCACCCAGGCCCTCTTCTCCATTATCCCTTCCCATTGCTAGAGAAACGGCTCCCAAAGAAAGACGGGCTAAATTGGTGTCCTGAAGCACCAATGAGGACAGAGAGGAGGTGGGATGGGGATATAAATCTTGATTCTAACCTGGTGTGGCATGTCTGTAATCCCAGCTCTTGAGAGGCTACGGCAGGAGGATTGGAGTGGGAAACCAATCTGAACTACACAGCAAGACACGGATTCTCCACCCACCCCCAGGAAATAAATACATTCTAACACAACATCACCCTCCCTTATCATTCTCCAAAGCACGTCATCCCAACTTCTAACAACCTGGTGACTGCACCCACACCCACCTACACACCTCTTTCGTAAACCAAGACAGTCACCTTTCATTTCCCGTGTACCTGTAACCCTGGCTACAAATCATCCCCTATATTCAGCCCACCAGGATAGCCACTTGGCAGGCTCAGGACGCTCAGGACCCTTGCTCTGCAAGTACCTGTGACATCATGAGCTGCCCACCACCTCCTGTGACCTCACCACCTGGACAACTGAGCCTAGCAGAGCCAAGCCACTCCTCCCCAACCACCACACATAGCAGGGGGCATAGATGACCACCGAGACCTTGGGAGAGGCTGAAGCCACCAGCAAGCCAGTATATGATCTCCCTGAGGCCTCCGTGGGCAATGAAACTGGAGAGCCCCAAAGTCCAGACTGTCCGCCTGATGATGGCCCACCAGTAGACAGTGTTACAGCATTCACTGAAGAGAAGAATGTAAACCAGGCCTCTGTGACAACGACCATTGCCACAGAGCAAGATGAAGTGGAGACTGTCACCTTCCCGGTGCAGGATGAACAAGCCTACATGCAGAGTGCCACCTCCGTGGAGCAGTATGTAGACCAGGTAACCACGAAGATTGCCACTCTCATCAGGCCGGATAAAGACCAGGCCTCCATGAAGATTACCACCTTCATGGGACAGGATGAAGACCAGGAGTCCAAGCCAATCGCCACTTCCATGGGACAAGATGGGAATCAGGTTTCCATGCAGATGGCCACCTCCACAGGGCAAGATGTAGAGACAGCCACCTCCGTGGATATGTCAACTTCTGGGAACAAAGATGGGAGCCCAGATGCTTCAGGCCATAACCAGGAGAATCCCGAAGAAGCCACATCTCTGCTGCCCCAAAACTCGGGTACCCTACAAGCGTTTGTGGGCTTCCAGAATCCAGTGTGGGACAGACTGGCTGAAAATAACCGTGCAAGTCGGAGCCGCATGGTTTCTCCAAGTGACTCCCAGAACCAGGAAAAGCCAGCAGGGAAGCCGAGTGTTCCTGAAGTGCAGCCAGAAACATCTCCAAACACTGACATCCCATCTGCCCCGCCTGAAGATGCCCAGCCTTCTGTGGGAGCTGCTGACCCATCCACTTTGGATACCAGTAGTCCTGACCAAGAGTGCGTGGAGATCACCAAGCCTGCTGAGCAGGAAACTGAAGGTTTCAAGGCATCGAATCCCGAAAGCAAAGCTACACCCCCAGTGCCGACCCGGGAGGATGAAGCTGACAACTCAAGGATCCTGCAGACCCCTGCACCTTCCCCCAGCTCCCCAGGAGGCAGTGCACCTCCCTCTCCAGATTCCTGCCGCATGCCCCTAGGCAGGAACCTTCTAGACCCCAGCCTGTACAGGCCTGATGTGGAGAATGACTACATGCGTTCCATGACTAGCCTGCTGGGCGGTGGTGAGGGCTCCATCAGCTCTCTTGCAGACATCCTGGTGTGGTCAGACACAGCCACGGGCATGGGTTTGGCTATGGGCTTTCTGGCTTCAGGCCACAGCTCTCCAGCTGACAGGCTACATGATGAGGGTCCCAGCCTGCGCACTGTCTCCAGCCTCTTGGGCAGTGCCAGGTCAGCTTTCTCCTCAGGGTTGGTGGCTGGAACTGGCTCAGCCCTGCGCTCAGTCACACACATCCTGGAGTCTGTGGAGAGACGAACTATGGAAGGCATCCGTTCAGCTGTGCGCTACCTGGCCAGCCACTTCACCCCACGCTGGGCCCCGCACTGGCCCCAATAGTGACTAAACCAGCAAGTCCCCTGTGGCTCCCCACCCTTGCACTAGATAGGTGACTCCCCCAGCCCTTCAGTAAATAACCACAAGCGTTTATTTTCTAAGCTCTGCCCTTATCCATGTAGTGGGACAATGGTAAAAGGACAGAAGAGTCCAAAATATTCTGAAAATAAGAATGCTCTTAGGTTGTTCCATTTGGGTCAACTGGGCTCTGACAGGGATGGGGGAAAGACTGGATGGGTGTTTCAGATGGGCAAAAGCCAGCTGTGTTTCCATGGGTAACATGCCTGTTCCTGAGCCCCATGCCCAGGCTACCTGCTGAGGTTCCAGGAGGCAGAAGAGGGAATTGGGGTAGAAAGTACTATATAGGCCTCATAGTGGGAATCCACACACCTGGGCCCAGAGAATCCTTTTAAGGCTTAGAATCAAACTTCCAGTGTCTCCTGCCCTAGGCCCCACTCCCTGGCCTCCCTCTCCTCATCTCGGAATAGAGAGAGGAGCTCCACCACCACACACAAGCGTGTACATGCCAATGCCAGAAGACACAGGGACACAATGGAATTTTATGTAGGGCTCCATGGGACAGGGCTCAGGGAGGGTGACCAAACCACCATTGGACTAAGGGGGTGGGAAGAAACCGGGATGGATATAAGGCCATTAGATTTCAAACTGGCCAACCAGAATGGCTGTCCACCTTTGGCCCAGATTATTTCCATGATGTTTGCTCTGGCCTCTGCCATTTGCATCTTGGAAAGTAGGTACAAGAGCAAGAATCAAGAGCACCCCTGGGACCACATGCATTGGAAGACACAGTCACCCTCTGACAAAACCCGGCCCAACACTGACCTTAGGCACAGCCTTACACACATCAGGGACCACCCATCTATCAATTCTAACTGTCCTGTGTCTCCAGATGGGAACCTGGGGATGAATCCAGCCCATTGACTGGTTTAGCTTTTAGAGCTTCCTATGCCTTTTTTTTTTTTTTAACATTTTCCCTTTTAAATATGTTTATGTGAGTATTTTTACCTGCCTGTATGCATATGCACTACATTTATATAGTGTCCACGGAGACCAGAAGATGGTGTTGGATTTCCCACTTCCCAAACTGGAAGGTTTTGAGTCACCATATGGGTGCTGGGAATAAAATCTGGGTCCTCTGCAAGAGCAGCTAGTGCCTCTTAACTGGTGAGCCATCCCTCTGGTCCGAATTTCTCCCATTTTTAAATTTTACATAGTGTCTTAGGGTTTCTATTGTTGTGAGGAGACAACAGGACCACAGCACTCTCATAAAGGAAAACATTTAGTTGAGGTGGCACACAGTTCAGAGTTTAATCCATTATCATGGCAGGGAGCATAGTGGCTGGGAGTATGGAGTCATGTAGGCAAGCATGGTGCTGGAGAATTCTGCATCTCCATCCAAAGGCAACAGGAAGTAAACTGTTTCACTGGTTGTGGCTTGAGCGTATATGAGAAATGGCACACTTGGGGATAGAGGTGGGCATCCAAAATAGAAATACATACATCCCAGTCAGGGTAACATGACCTAATGTGAAATTGCAGAGCAAAAAGAACAAAACAGAAGGCAGGAGCTACAAAAAAGAGACCACCACCCACTGCAAGAGAAAGAGAGGGAGCCTTTGTGGACATTAGGTGAAGATGTGTTACATTTATTTATGCTGTGGAGTTATTTGCTTAATGATACAAAGATGTGTTGCATCCTTTCATGTTGCATTTGTTTAACTCTGTGAAGCTGTGTTACTCTGCCTGTCTAAAACATCTGATTGGGCTAATAAGGAGCGGAACAGCCAATAGCTAGGCAGGAGAGGGATAGGGGCAGGATTGCCAGGCAGAAAGAATAAATAGAAGGAGAAATCTAAGCTTGTAAGAGAGGGGGCAAGGAAAAGAGAGGAGGGCACCAGGGACCAGCTGGCCAGTCACACAGCCACACAGCCACCACCAGTAAAAAGGGGAAAGAGGTATTTAAAATAGAGAAAGGTAAAATCCCAGAGGCAAAAGGTAGATGGGATAATTTAAGAAAAGCTGTTTTAAAAAATACAAGCTAAGGCCTCACATTCATAATTAAGAGTAAGTCTCCGTGTATTTATTTGGGAGCTGGTGGCAGGTCCTCAAAGAGCAAACAGTAAAAATAAAAACCAGCTACAGGGAGCAGCTCATAGGACACAGGCACCAGGACATGTGACCCTGCCCATGATGGGCACATGGACCTGGAGGCACCCAAGCCACACCATGCTAAAAGAAAACTGATATGAATAAAAGATAGGTAGGAGAACAGGGTGACTTTGCAGGGTACTCCGAGGTGTGGAGGCTTGAGGTAGGGAAAGTTATAAATCCACCCCTATCAAAACCTGATGTTAGGGTAGCCTGTAACAGCAGACAGCAGTTTCTGGGATGGGCTTTTGAATGTGCCTGTCAGACCTGGGGGATAGAGGCAGGAGGAACAGAAGTTCAAGGTCATCCTTGGCTACATATTGAGTTAGAGACCAACTTGGGCTACTTGAAACCCTGCCTTGCAGAAGACCAGGTTTTGCCACCCACATGGCAGCACAACCATCTGTAACTCCAGTTACTAGGGAACCCAACACTCTCTTCAGGCCTTTGCAGGCACCAGGCATACAAATGGTACACAGACATAAATGCAGGCAAAACATTCATATACGTGCTTTAAAAAAAAAATAAAAAAAAAGCCTGGCAGTGGTGATGCACACCTTTAACCCCAGCACTCAGGAGGCAGAGGCAGGCCGATCTCTGTGAGTTCAAGGACAGCCTGATCCTTAGAGTGAGTTCCAGGACAGCCAGGGCTATGTAGAAACCATGTCTGGAAAACAAGAGAGAGAGAAGGAAGGAAGGAAGGAAGGAAGGAAGGAAGGAAGGAAGGAAGGAAGAAGGCAAAAACAATAGGTCAAGTACAATGGCCCACGACTATAGTCCAGGTACTAGGGAGGCAGGGGCAGGTGAAGGCTTGCTAGGTCTACATACATAGCAAGATCCAGGTCAGCTGGGGCCGCCCCACCCAAGATCCTGCTGTCTTGTGAGGATAGCTGGGGTTAGTGGACCGGCATCCACGCTTTGACTTCTCCACCTGCCCACTCTCTTCCCCTGCCTACTCGTCTCCCCCTGCCCATTCTCTTCACTGAGCTTCATTCTCTTGCCTCACAGCAGAGCGTGGAGGCCAGTGACATTTACTACATCATGGCTTTGAGCCCACACAGTACCATGCTGTTGCCTCCATAAGAGATGGGTATGTATATTTCATAAACTCAAATGATGGGAAAAAGTCAAGCCAGGCATGATGACCAAAACAGCATGATCCTCAGAGTTAGTTCTAAAACAACCAGGGCTACTCAGAGAAACCTTGCCTGGAAGTGTGTGTGTGTGTGTGTCAGACAGGATACAGTAGCACATGTATTTCATATCCCCACTTGTGAGTTAGAAGCAGATAGATTCTGAGTTCCAGGACAGCCAGTGATACCCTATTTAAAAAAAAAAATTAGGTCAGGCATGGTGGCGCATACCTTTAATCCCAGCATTCAGGAGGCAGAGGCAGGAGGATCTCTGTGAGCTCAAGGCCAGCATGGGCTACAGAATCAGTTCCAGAACAGCCAGGGCTATACAGAGAAACCCTGTTTCAAAAACAAAGAAATAAAAACAAAAGGTAAATTTGGAAGTTTAGGCTAGCACGCATGCCTGAACACACGCATAAACACAGTAATAATAATCTAAAATGAATGTGGTTTTTAAAAATACACCTTTAATTGTTGAACCGAAAGACTGCACCACTCACTCCAGGTAGAGAAGAGTCCAGTTTCTCAGGCTTGCTGCTTCTGTGCTTCCAAAACTCTGAAGAATGCAGACTGCACCCTCTGCTGGACAGATGGCAGCACTGCTCCACACCTGCAGAGTCCAGACCCAATCCTTGACACCTGGAATGAGAAGCAGGGGTTGAGTATAGCCTGAGATAGCCCAGTTGACAGGCACAGGATAGACATTACCTCTAGGAAGCTCCTAGGCATAAGAAGACACAGGGAGGCCTGGAGAGATGGCTCAGCAGTTAAGAGCACTGGCTGCTCTTCCAAATATCAGGGTTCAATCCCCAACACTCACATAGCAGCTTGAACCCATCTATAATTCCAGACCTTTTCTGGTTCCCTCGGGCAACGGGTAACATGTGTTTACTCAGACACACATGCTAACAAATTACCTGTACATATTTTTGTTTGTTTTTTGAGACAGGGTTTCTCTGTAGCTTTGGAGCCTGTTCTGGAACTCGCTCTGTACATCAGGCTGGCCTTGAACTCACAGAGGTCTACCTGCTTCTGTCTCTGCCTTCCTAGAGTGCTGAGATTAAAGGCAACTGCCACCACCTGGCCATATTTTTTGTTTTTTTTAGAGACAGGGTCACAAACTCTCCAACAGGAGTCATGACAACTGAACAGCTAAAGTTCTTGGTACTCAGAGACACAAAACACCAGAGGTCAGGGTTTTTTAAGCAGGGGTCAGCCAGGTCAAGGTGTGGGACCTAGGTTTGAAAGACCAGGGCAGGCAGCATCCTTTGAGCCCAGGCCTAAAAACAATCAGAAGCCTGTATCAGTGAACACGGTGGTCCTAGAACAGAGTTTTCATGTCTCCTGATTTCATTTTCTTCCACTGTCAGATGGATCTTGTACTGTCTAGTTTTATGTCAATGACACAATCTAGAATCTTCTGAGAAATGGGAGTATCAATCAATCAATAGACTCCAAGCTACTGCAACTCGGTGCAGGCGGGAAGCGTCTGTGAATGAAACCTCCACCATGAGTCTCCTCAATAAACCCAATTCAGAGGTGGCCCTGGAAGAGCTGCAGGAGCAGGAGGAGGAAGAGGAATGCAACACGGCCCCCTCTCGATGCTCACACAGTCAGTCAAGAACAACACGCAGGTGCTCATTAACTGTCACAACCACAAGAAGTTCCTGGGATGGGTGAAGGCCTCCGATAGGCACTGCA